TATATATATATATATACATATATATATGCATATATATACATACATATATATATATATATATATATATATATATATATATATATATATATATATATATATATACACATATATAATATATACATATAAATAATACATAAACATATATACATATGTGTGTGTGTGTGTGTGTGTGTACATACCTTATCTGCGATATCTCAACGAAACGTTTAATGGTTATTGTCACTAATTAGCATACCTGATTAATAAACCTTCAATTTTTCAAACACTAAATTGCATATACCTTCTTACTCATTATATAATTTCTTCCCAATTCACTCAAAAATGTAGAAAAAAAAATCATACAAAAGAAAGACAGTGATGACGGTTGATGACACTGTTGCAATGATAATGAGAAACAGCCAAGGTCATGCAACACAGTCAGAAAGGAAAAACATAATTTAAAATTAAAAGCATTATAAGAAACATTTGATTTCAGGGACATCAGCCAAAAACTTTTTTTTTTCAAAATCATAATTCAGAAAATTAATACCTTCCCTTTACTCTTACTGATATAAAATAAATGGAACAACTATAAACTTTTTCCTTCAACTTTATGAATTATGTAGAAAAGGTATGAAAGAGAATGAATACCTTTACAATACAAGGTATGTATTAAGCCAGTTTCGATTATATCTTCGTAGAAAACGGTTTAATATATATCATGTATTGTGAAGATATTCATTCTCATTCATTCATTTTCTACATTTGTCGCAATGAATAATTATGAATTAATAATGAGAATCCTTTTCTTCAAACACGTAAATATTCGTTCAAAGTCGTCAATAAGTATATAAATTCCTTCCTTCCAGACGCAGTATTCAGTACAAAAAAAAATCAGTTATCAGCCCTTTCTTTCAAACTCACCACCCAATAAAAGATTCTGTTTTTCCTTCTAAATTATCGATAAACATCCTTTCTTTCAAACTCACCAGCCTTAAAATGATTTTTTTTTCGTTCCAATTAATCAATAAATATATCTCTTCTTTCAAACTCATCATGATAATAACATCATAATATTACTGTGATAAAAAAACAACACATTCTTCATTCAGTCACAGAAACCCTTCCACCAAGCTCACCAGGGGTCGTCCGGCCATTGTACCATAAAAGAACGACCACCCTCTTTCTCCTGTGCTGCATCCCACTCCCCTATTTCCCACACGACCGCCATCCCGTAACAGACACGCACACGCACACACTTCAGCAACGGATGTGAATAAAGAAACTTCTCTCCCGCGCGATCGTAGTCATCCAAATGGGTAATGATGTACCTCCGCGTCACGGAATTCGACCGAAATGGTTTGATATGTGAATCTGACAGAGATGGCTTGACATGTGTGGCAATACGAGGGGGTGCGTGAGTGTAGTGCTTGGTGAATGGGACCCGCGGAAGTTTGGCGTCTTGCTGTATTGGAAAATCTGTGCTCGGTCGCTTTGCAACGGAAAGAGCGTGGTAATTTGTCGAACAAATCAAGGACTTAAGAGTCGGAAGTAGGAAAGAGTCACACGGCACACAGCTGGAAGCAATATTTAAATATTTAAAGCTAACAAAAGATTACAGAAAAAATGGAAAGAGAGAGAGAGAGGAGAGAGAGAGAGAGAGAGAGAGAGAGAGAGAGAGAGAGAGAGAGAGAGAGAGAGAGAGAGAGAGAGAGAGAGAGAGAGAGAGAGAGAGAGAGCGAGAGAGATGTAGATAGATAGATAGATAGATAGATAGATAGAGAGAGAGAGAGAGATGTAGATAGATAGATAGATAGAGAGATAGATAGATAGATAGAGAGGATGTAGATAGATAGAGAGATAGATAGATAGAGAGATAGATAGATAGAGAGAGAGAGAGATGTAGATAGATAGATAGATAGAGAAAGAGAGAGAGAGAGAGAGAGAGAGAGAAGAGAGGGAGGGAGAGAGAGAGAGGAGAGAGAGAGAGAGAGAGAGAGAGAGAGAGAGAGAGAGAGAGAGAGAGAGAGAGAGAGAGAGAGGGAGAGAGAGAGAGAGAGAGAGAGAGAGAGAGAGAGAGAGAGAGAGAGAGAGAGAGAGAGAGAGAGAGAGAGAGAGAGAGGGTAGTAACAGGAAATATATGAAGGCATGTCTTATGTGGTAATTCGAGGGACGCAATGATACGGCCGTCACACATAGCAACAAAAGTCAGGTAACGGAAAGAAGACACAAATCCATTCCCTCATAGCCATACCTATATCATACGATACTAAACTACCAAGGACCTAAAGATAACAAAACACACACACAAAAACAAAGACAAAGTGATTAAATAAATAATAAATAAATACCGAAAACAAACAAGACGAACAACACACACTCCCGTTTCCGAGTTCCGAGCGGCCGCACGAGACCATCGCTCCCAAAGACCCGGAAATCATTTGCTCGCCGCGATCTCCCCGCTCGACCAAGATGAGCTCCTTCTCCTCCTCCTTCTCCTTCTCTTCCTCCTCCTCCTTCTACTCCTCCTCCTCCTCCTCCTCCTCTTCCCCCCCTCTTCCTCCTCCTCTTCCCACCTCCTCCTCCCCCCTCCTCCTCTTCTTCTTCTTCTTCCTCCTCCTCCTCCTCCTCCTCCTCCTCCTCCTCTTCCTCCTCCTCCCCCCTCCTCCTCCTCTCTTCCTCCTCCCCCTCCTCCTCCCCCCCCTCCTCCTCCTCATGCTAGCGCCGTTCGCAGAGCTTGTTGGTTTCCGCATGTCGCTGATTCTTACGACACTAGAGTTAAATAACAGTGCTACAGGACCGGCTTAGCGGGGCGTATCGCGGATTAATAGGAAATAGCGTGGATGATTCATTGTGGTAAAGTGTACAGATGTCCGTACGTACGGTTTATCTACTGATGGATAAAAACATAAGTCCAGTAAAAGGAATATATATATATATATATATATATATATATATATATATATATATATATATATATATATATATATATTCACACACACTCACACACATACAAACACACACATACACACTGTGGTGTATGAGTGTGTATTCTCATTTTTTTCTCCTTCCTTAAATTTTCGATTTGTTGCGCGGTGTCGTTGCTCTCTTTCCTCTAGGCTTTTGAGTTTCGAAGGAGAGAGAAAGGAGGGGGAAATCTGTAGGAAAAAGAGCGTGATAACGATGCAGGAAATCCTTATGCGACGCTCAATGAAACTAATTCACGAAACTGTGTCGGATACTTTCGCTCTCCAAGGTTATAAGGTTCGCGAATCGTTAGCTCGAATCGCGTTTTTTTAGGGTTTCGGATCCAACAGTAAAACTATCGGCATAAAAAGAGAAGCAAATAAACGCAGGAGCTAGATTGGGAGAAGGGAGTTTAATTCCTTCAATTATGGAAGTATTGTTCATTGTTTATAGATTGTCGCACGGGTAAAAGAGGGAAACTTTAAAAGGTTATTTGTGAAACTGCCTATTGTACTTGCTGACAAAACATGATGTGCTAAATGGATAAATAAAGATATAATAACAATGCCCTTAGATTGGTCCTATCTGCAGCTTGCTATATGAGAACAAAACAAACGTAATACTTTATTGTATATCTCTTTACTGTACTTTGTCTTTTACTAGGAGACCTATCCTTAATTCTCTCTCTCTCTCTCTCTCTCTCTCTCTCTCTCTCTCTCTCTCTCTCTCTCTCTCTCTCTCTCTTTCTCTCTCTCTCTCTCTCTCTCTCTCTCTCTCTCTCTCTCTCTCTCTCTCTCTCTCTCTCTCTCTCTCTCTCTCTCTCTCTCTCTCTCCCCCTCTCCCTCTTCCCTTTAACCTTTCCCTGTCCCTCTCTCCCTCTCCCTCTTCCCTTTCCCTTTCCCTTTCCCTTTCCCTTTCCCTCTCCTTCTCCCTCTCCCTCTCCCTCTCTCCCTCTCCCTTCCTCGGTCACATGGCTAAGCTGGTGCTCCTCCGTGTCACCTGTTCACACCTGTACTCCATAAAACTTATTACATCTGCCCCTCCTACTATTAGCTGTGTAAAATGCAGGTACCCTTCGCCTATTTGTTAATGAATGCAAGCCGTTTACGTTCTGCTCGTACATTTATATTCAAATGAAGTGTAGATGTTTATTCATGGACTGCCGGCGAATGCGGTGAATATGCGGGCACATCCATTTCTTTAATGAATCTACAACGCATCAGTTTTCCTGTATATCTCTCTCTTTTCTTTCTTCCCTCTCTCCCTTTTCTTTCTTTCATCGTATCTCTTTATCTTCAATCTTCTCCTTCCTCATATCTCTTAATGTTTCTTCTTTCATTCTTATTCGGACAGCGTGCACGAAAACTAAGATGTGCGAACAACAATTTCCACATTCCAGTC